ACCGCTCTCCCCCGCAGCGTGTGCAGGCTTTATTGCTTCAGCAGTTGGAACTTGCCCCGCCCCCCGAGAGTGCCTCTGCACACCTCAGTCTGACAAACTGAACAAGCCAGCCCCCAGTGGTCCCCTCGAGGGAGCGTGCACACACACAGAGAAGAGGGAGGCCAGACAACGCCACCAACATCAGGAGCACCTGGACCAGGGAGAAACTTCCATGTCCCACTTGGCCACCAGGGACCTACCCCTTCTTCAGGTTTGTCACATAAGCGCTCTGGAGGGCGGCTTCCAGGAAGTAGGTGAGCTCATAGTCAACCGGGTGAGAACCTTTCAAATGCCGTGATGTGGTGTAATTTGTGATCTGGGAAAGGGAACACAGAGAGAGCCACTGTTTCAAAGTTCTGAGGCTGAGGGTCTGAGGCGACGGTCAGCCCAGGCCCAGGCAGCCCCATGACCACCCCAAGTCCCCAGCCACCCCACTGGCACATGGTGCAATTCTCAGACCAAATCCAACCGAACTCACTTTCATTTAAAACATGTCTATAGTACCTTGTCCTCATCCGAATGCTGGATGCCCACAACAGCCCTACCAAGCTGGTTTTGTCTGCATTTTATAGATGAGGAAACTGAGGCTCAGAAGTGCCTAAAGTCACAAAGCTGGCATGTGCCCCGACCTCAAACTCAAGTCTGGCCAGCTACAGATCCCAGCTATCTCTACTACTTATTGGTTCATTCATTCGACAAACAATTGAGTGCCTACTATGTGCCTGGCACCACCTTGTCCCTGTCATATAACCATGGAACATCAGAGTAGCCCAAGGGCACGGACCCCTGGTTTCAGGAGAAGCTGAGGAACAATTATATGACTAACTGAGCTATCCTAAAGCCTCAGCTTTAAGAGGGCCACCCAGCCCCACCAAAACTGGCCTGCCTTTACAATGCCACAAAAAAAATTGATGAGCCATCCACCTTATTTTTCAGAAATCAAAGATATAAGAGATGTTCTCAGATGCTCAGAGGTTGGGGCTGCATCTTAGGAGGGACGCACAGCATTTCTGCCTCCCTTGACCTGAGCTACCCAGCTATCGGGTCCCATTTGTCTGTCCACTGCCACTTGGTATTAATTCCAGCCCTGGGCCATATGACAAGTCATCACCTTAATCCCCCTTTTAAAAGTCCAAAGCCTAGGCTTCTGGCTGAATGAAAGACTTTGTCATAAAAGTTTCCTCCAAACCCCATGCAATGCAAATATGAAGAGCTCCTAAAACACTGCTGTTTAGAGAGACCCACACAACAGGTCAGCTCAACCTGTCAAGTCTCCATGGGGACTTCTGCCAGGGGACACGCTTGTGTCCTGTTTCTGCTGAGCCCCTCAGCCACTGCTCCTTTCCTCCTGAAGTCCAATCAGGGACGCTAGGGCAGTGACTCTCAACAGGAGGGTGATTTCAACCTCCAGGGACATTTGGCAGTATCTGCAGATACCTTATCACATTGGGGAGGAGGGGGTGAAGCTGATGGCATCTAGTGGGTAGAGGCCGGAAATGCTGTTCAACATTTTACAAAACACAGAGCAGCCCCATGACAAAGAATCGCCGGGCCCCAAATGTCAGTAGTGCTGAGGGTGAGACATGCCACTCTATAAGAACTGGCCTGGCCTGAGGAGGCATCGTCCAAAAAGACCCCTCAGGTGCCAGGTTGACATTTTGGCATTTGCCAAAGTAGGTGAGGTCCAAGTGCCTCCTGCGCTCTAAGTCTCTCGGCTCATAACCACCTTCTCCCTCAGGATGACAACCCTAATCTACTCGCCGTGGCGCTTGCCATCGGACATCCGTTGAACAACTGCCAGACAGAATGCCTAAGCGCCACCCCGCGTCCTCCCCCAGGAGGGGTCAGAGCCGCATTCCCAGGGTCCAAATCCTGCCGATGCCACTTGTTAGCTGTCTGAACCCCGAGAAGCTATTTAATGCCTCACTTGTGAAATGGGAATTACAACAGTACCTATTCCAGCCAGTGGTGTGAGGGTTAGATTAGAAAATACCCGTGAAGCACTCAGAGATGTGCCTGACACAAAAGCAGGGTCTCGGGAACTGTTAGCTGTAACTGTGATGAATGTCGCTGCTCGTTCTCCCACCAATAGCCCCAGAGCCCCCAGAAGGGAAGAACTGGGACAACGTCACAGCATGCTAACACCTGCGACTACGGTCCTGCAGACAGTTCGTACAAGCCCCACAAGGGAAACTGGGAGATGAAGAGGCCTGAAAACTTCCAGACTCCCGCTGGCTCCCTGGCAGCCTCTGAAAAATAGGAGAATGGGCCCCAGACCTCAGCTTCCCTAGAGGATCCAATAGGAAGCTTCTGGGGGAACCTCAGAACCAGGAAGCTTGACTGCAAGGACCAGCCTGACTGTACCTGCTCCAATCTCATCTACTAAACAGAGATGAATAGAATACCTACTTCAGAGTTGCTGTGAGGAGTACACAAGTTAGCAGACACAAACAGAGGTATCAACTTGGTCATGCAAGCCAAGCTCACCAAGGAGGTTCCTGGCCTCTCACGGACGGAGTGGACTCATCGATTTACTAAAACTATTTCCTGGCAGTAAAGAGTCTCACGTTAACAGAATCAGTAAACTATAAATTTTCCAGCTGATGAGGCAGAGTGTCTTTGGAGGGGTGCAGGGTGCCTTTATAAATTTGTACAAGGCTGACCCATAAGCTTAGTGGGGGGCGTAGATGTAGGCGCTCAACAGAGAGCAGCTGTGAACATGGTGCTGTAATTCCCAGCTCACCTTCTCCAATTCCTGCAGAAACACCTGAGCGATCCACGAGGCCCTCTCAAAGCAGGTGATCACTTCCTCCTCCCTCTCAGTCAGGCGGTGGCGGGAAGCAATGGAGTTGGGTAGGCGTTCCAGGGAGAGGCCTGCAGAAGGAGAGCACCTCAGACCTGCCCTGCTCAGGCTGCGCCCCCTGACTCCAGGCCCTTCCCATGGGCCTAGGGTGGGCTCGTCCGAGGACACTGATGCTCTGGAGCAGCCAGTGGGAGGCGGAGGTCCGAGGAGGGGAAGGAGGAGACTAAAGAGGAGGCTAAGCAATGGTGGTATTAGCAGCAGCTGGGGGCAAGCAGTAGGCAAACAGCAGGCACCCCTGCCCCACATGGGAAGGCACACTGCGGCCCCCATGTCCAGCTCCTGCCTATCCTAACAGGTCAGCTGCTCCAGGAACCATTCCTGACCCTTCTTCCAGTTGCTAGAAGAAAACATCCACCCCGCCGGCCACTCACCAGTTTCACATCGTAGAGGGGTTATTTATGCTTAGCTCTTCTCTCCCCCAGTACCTAAAGCCTCATGTGGGCAAAATGTGCATCTTTTTGGACAACCACAATCACTAGCATACAGAAGATGCTCGAATTACACAGCATGTTACAGGCATCCATCCTATGAAACCAGTTTCCACTTTGCCTGAATTATCTGCACTCAGGTCTTATCTGCCTAGAAGGAATGGGGATCTGCTGTTTTTGCCTCCCTGGCATTCACTTCCTCTTCTTTCGGCAACGGGCACCTCATTTTCCCTTTGAGCACCCCTCCCGCAGTCTCAGCCCATGTGGTTCAGAGGCTGATGAGCCCACTCCACCTCCGGGGCAGCACAGGAGTCAGGCTGACCCAACAGGAGAGCCACAGTCTGTGGCTAAGGAGGAGCACACTGTCCGATGCCGGCAGAGAAAGAACTAATCCCAGAAGTTGTACTCTTTTCACTGGGCTTGGTAAGCTGGTAAGAGGTCAGCCTGAAAGTGTTAGGGAAAAGCCTTCGAATGAAGCCACACAACGTGAATGCAAGTAACACCCCTGAACTGTACACCTGACAGTGGTTAAGATGGTAAATTTTATATGTTCTTTACCATAATTAATTTTTTAAAAATTAAAATAAAAGCAGATCTCTAAAGCCAAACAAAAGCAAAAAAACCCAAAAACAAACCAACAAACAAAACTATAAGAAGCCAAGAAGGGAAAACATTGTTATACTTCTACTAAGTGGATGTTGTAAAGGAAAACAACTATATTTGTGTCAGTTTTTTTTTTTAAGACAGAAAAAAGACTGAATAAACTCTTAGTCATGAAACAAAAAAATGAAGTCTACACAGAGTAAAGATGAGACATGATGGAAAAGGGCATTCTTAAGGACACTACTTGAGCACCTTGCCTGAAGCTCTACTCCCTGAAACTGTCCAGTACATATGCCAATAAACCCTCCCACCACCGTGTTTTGGGGGGTTATAGTCAGTTTAAATTGAGTTTGTTACTTTCAACTCATGCAGACCTGACTGGAGGGTGCTGTCCAGGACTGTCAGTTCCCAAGGGCAGAATCCAGGTCTCTCATCTCTGTGCCCCACACAGTACCTGCCACGTACTGGGCGCTCAAGACGAACTGGCTGGAAGAACTGTAAGAATAGAATACTCGACTCTCTCCTGCCCGACATCCCCAATATCCAACTGATAACCAAGCCCTTAAGATGTCAAACCTGCCCCCCACCCCGCTTCTTTTACTATCTTATTTCAGGCTATCTCTTGAGTGGACGACCACATCAGCCTCCTAGCTGGCCTCCCTGCCTCCGGTCTCACTCTAATCCATGCTGCACATGGCTCCCAGGGCGACCCTTCTAAACCTCTATCACTTACAACCCTCCAGGGTGCCCACTGCTATAGAGTAAAATCCAAACTCCTGATGCTCCACACCAGGCCCTCCAAGATCCATCCCTGTCACCTCTCCAGCCTTGTCTCTTACCACATGCTATCGATTGAATGATTGTGTCCCCCCAAATTTCAGATGTTGGAAACTTAATGCCCAATGTGATGGTCCTAGAGGTGGGGTCTTTGGGAGGTGATTAAGACATGAGGTGGAGCCCTCGCAAATGGGATTAGTGCCCTTATAAAAGAGACCCCTGAGAGCTCCCTCACTCCTTCCACCATGTGAGCATGGTGAGAAGCTGGAAGCCTACAACCTGGAAGAGGGCGATCACCAGAACCAGACCATGCTGCTGCACCGACCTTGGACTTCCAGCCTCCAGGACTGTGGGAAATAAATGTCTGTTGTATATAAGCCACCAATCTGTGGTACTTTGTTACAGTAGCCTGAGCTAAGACACCATGACCACCACACCAACAATCATTCTCTTCTCCCAACAGCTGAACATGTTCAAGTTGCTCCTGCTGCCTAGAGTGCACCTCTCCCCCAGTTTACCCCAAATTACTGCTCCCCTTCTGCTCCACTGAGTGCTGACTCCTTTACAGAGCCCCTCCTGACGAACCCTGGTACAATTAACCATTTCTTTACATATTCTTGCCTGACCATTTCTTGTGCTTATTTGTTCACACATTTGCTCACCCAGACTGTAGGTTCCTTAAAGGCCGTTAACCTTATAGTGGTCACCTTTCCACAACCTGGCACATAGTAGGCACTCAGCAAGCACTGGCTGGCTGGCTGAAAAAACAGCAAGCCTGATCGTGTCGGACAAAGTACGAGTGCTCTGCCAATACAAGGTGAGGAATTACTGTTTTCTTGGCTGCATCCCAACTCAAACGGATTCAGTGACCTTGCCCTCTGCCAGTCTGTGGTGTGAACAGGTCCGAAGGTCGGGGTGCCTTGGCCTGCAGGGAGGCAGGCATAGAATGCAAAGGCCCTTGCTCAATACAGAGACTCAGTTACCCAGGTCGCTGAGTGTTAACATGCCAAATGACTCACGACCATTTTGGCTCCTCACTGGGGAGGACTAGAGGGGGAGAAGAAATAGAGGGAGCTCTGGAGGAGACTCAGGAAGAAGGCAAGAGAAAGCAGGCCCCACTGCTCACTGCCAGTGCTGGCCTAGCCCCCGCTCCCCAGATAGGTGGACTGTCCACATGCAAGAAGATGGAACAAACAAACGCAGTGTTCAGAGGCCTAGCCTGGGAGACCAACTGCAGATGGCAGGAGGACGCCGCCAACTCCAGAAGACATAGCGTGGACCTGTTTTAATATGGCTGCCCTGTGGCACCTCCCTCCCCCACAAGGAGATGTGCTGCTGGCTGGGTTTCCTCCTGCCCCACTTCTGGGCCCCAAACGGGGATGATGCCAGCTGCCTGGCAGGTTCAGGCTGCCAGTCCCAAGCCTCAGCATGGGTGGGCACTGCAAAGGGGGGAATAAGTCTGTCTGTGGGGCCTTCACTTCTGCTGTGTTTCATTTGTTCCTCCCACTCCCAGCAGAGGCCTCTCTATCATGCTTCCTCAAGAATTCTAAATTCCATCCTCTGAAAGCTTACAACAAAACCACCTCCACTCTGAAACCTTCTTAAGCCTCCCAAACCCCAACCAGCAGAATGTTCTAGCTACATCTCCCGAGTCTGCCTTTGCCCTACACATGGTCACCATCCACTCTGCCCATTTCTGACTGATCTTTGTATCCAGCGAGAGCTGGGCCTGGTGCTGAGTGAGTGGATGGATGCAAAGATGAATCAATACATTCACTCATGCTGGATATACAGCCCAGTGGGTTTTTCCCTCTCCAACTAAATAACGGTCCTTGCAGAATTCATAAACAAATTATATGTTTATACAATAGAATATTACTCAGAAATAAACAAAAGGACAAACTCCTGATACACATACGACATGGGTGAATCTCTCAGAAATTATATTATGTAGAAGAAGTCAAACGTTGAAAAGGACATGCTATATTTTTCAGTTATATGATATTCAAAAAAGGGCAAAATTCATCTGTATTAATAGAAACCAATCAATCATTGGATGTGGGGGTAGGAGAGAGGATTAATTGGGAAAAGGCCCAAGGGAACTTTCTGGGGTGATGGAAATGTCCTTTGTCTTTACTGGGGTGTCGATTACATGGGTATTTACACTTTTTCAACTCATCAAATTATACACTTAAGATTTGTAGATATAATGCCTTTTTTAAGAGAAGCTGTTATGATTCTGGAAAACTAAAAGATCAAAGCAGAGGGGCTGCGATTATTGAGGTGGTCCTCAATAAAATAATTTCCAAAATACAGAAGACAAAAAAATTCCTGGAGCTGGCAGTGGCTTTTCCTAATCATTGTCACAGTTCAGTCGCCCATTTCGGCCCATAAAAAGGGGCTTCTTTACATTCTGTTTGCTCTTTGATTTATAAGAAGGTCCATTTTCCTGTCCATAAACATCTGATTGGAAACCTCCTGGGGACTCTAACACTTGGTTCCCCTTCACCCTCTGCCCTTGAGCGTTTCAGCACAAGAGGCCAGACCACAACACTAGATCCAGATGGAGACTGGCTGCTCCTGAGCCGGGCCCTCAAAGGAGGGCCTTCGTGGTCGTAATGCAGCCTTGTCCATCAGGCAGGAAGCCAGGGCCGCCTCACGATTCTCACTGGTGAAAACACCCAGTCCTACAAGCTAAGAAAGGGCCTCTTTTCAAGAGGATTGCTTGCTTTTTCTTTAACTCCAAACTTTCGGTTTGGAGGCAAACTGATCCTGGCACAGCCTGTGGCTGAACACCCAAGCTGGTCCCAGCCTCTTCAGTCTGAGGTGACTCATCACATCCCAGACAGCTGCCCTTCCAAGAAGCCCCACCCTGGGAGCCCTGGGCCCTGGATGCAGAGGTGGAGAGCACACCACTTCCTCTGCAATGGAAGTTTCCAGATGGGTGGGCCCCCTCGCTCCTGCCTACCCAGCTGGTCCAGGAGCACAGGGCACCCAGAGAGGGCTAACTAAGCCCAGAGTCTGAGAATTGTGGGTTGGGGATGGGGGTGGGGTGATGAGGTAGAAATGCAAGTCACTGCTTCAGCCCTCAGGGAGGAAGCCTCGAGGCCAGAGAGGGAAGAACCCTCGTGAATCACACACAAAAGCGGGCAACTGTGGAAATGTAAAATGGTACAGCCACTGTGGAAAACAGCCTGGCGGTT